CCTCCGGCATGGCTGGCCAGCGGAGGGAGGAGGGCAGGCAACTGGGAGATGTGCTCTCAGCATCACCGTGCCTGTCGTTTTAGTGACACTGAATGTTTCAGGGTTTTTTTCCGTTCCGGAATTAAACCAAGGTTTAAAGTATTTACAGTTTTCACATGTAATAAGATTATTAATGTTGGTCCCAAACTGGTCCAATATGCACTCCTCAGTCAGCAGGTAACTGAGCAGAGAGCAGAAAAAATAATTTTAAAAAATTGTCACTGAATCCAGGCAGTAGGAGTAAGCATAATTTTTCTAGTCATATCCTCATCTCTTGTCCTGGAATTACTTTCCCAAAACAGCTTTAAATAAAGGTGCTGCAATGGCTTCTCTCTAAGATCATATGCCAACAGACAGAGGTATACAGGACTGCAAGAGACTGCTCCCACCAAGTCCCCTTGGCCATCCCATATGTAACCTTCTCCTCAGCCAAGCAACTTCTGACTTAAAAACTAAGTTTCGAAATTTTCTGGGCTCTCCATCAGGAAGAGCTGTCAGACCTGTACTAACCCACTGGAACAAAAACCTTATTTCCAAAATGAAAGTATTTCTACTCTTGTGCTAAGTTTGTGCATCAGTTTCAGCAGTTGTCTCGCTGATGTGTCCACCACCCTGACGCACTTGCAGCATGTGTGTGCTCTGCCTTCATTTACCAAACCAAGCAAGTCTCCTCTTGGACACAAGCTGAACACAATTACCTGTTCACTTTGGCAACCCCTTCCCCCCCCCCTTCTAATATTAACACATCTTTCTTGAGCACGGTTGTAGAAATGCATACAAAATACTCCAGCTGCTGTCTCACCAGGGCCGCCTCTAACGGCATGGGTGTCTCTTCTTTCTGCTGGTAACACCTCAACAAACTGGGCCTAGGATTTTGCTTACGGTCATTTCCATGGCTGTATCATACTGCCACCTTGCACTCAACCTCAAACAGATCAATCACGTAGGATAACCCCGGTGGCTGCAGTGACCAGAGCTGGGTCCTGACGACACCTTGCCGTCCTGCAGGCTCTTCCCACTACACACGAACACCGAACAACTGCCAGACACACTCTCTGCTCCTCGCTGCCAAAGCCAAAGGTGGCACCTGGCTGTGCCTCACTCGGGCAGCCAGCCCTTCCCATCAGCACCAGGAAAAGACAATGTGCCAAATGAAAGTTCAGCCTGATCCGATTTCTGCTGATAGGTCCAAGTCTTTCTTCCCCTGCACTGCTGAGCTCCCAGCTTCTAGCAGAAATTCTTATTGTAGTCTCCAAGTACACAGCCTGCTGCTCTGCGCTGCTGAACGTTATCCCGTTTCCATGACTCCAGCAGGGAGTCATCCAATTCTTCCTGTACAACAGCCTCATTCGCCTCTTCTGGTGATGGTGCTTCCCAACTTGGTGTGATCAGCAAATTTAATTAGCAAATGCCTCTTTTTTGTGCCAAGATCATTAATTTAATATAACACAAAAGTCAATCTCTACTCTTGAGGAAATCCATAAATTATTTGCAGTTGACCGATACTTTTTCTTTCAGTACCACTTGTTTACATTCCCCTTGCTGCCTAATTCATCCCCACCTTACAGTTCTTCTATACCACACACTCGCTAGATTAATTAATTACTTCCCATGTGGCAACCAGGTAGATGAGTTTCTTTCTCTTAAGGGTTTAACTAGAACTCTAAAGAAAGCACTGGCAAAGGCAACACCTTTGCTTAAGAAATCATATTTCACTTTATTCCACTTTCCCGTTAGTCTCAAGTCTTTCGCTTTTCGTCCATTCTAAATTTGTTGTAAAATTTTGCATACTGTTTAGGTAAAATCAACAACTCCAATTGCCTGGATCACTCTTCCTTTCCCCTTCTAAATACAGGCACATCAACACAACTCACCATTCACATGAGACAACAGCAGATGCAATAAATTTTACTGGAAATCTCTGCTCCCAACCCTGCAATTTCACCTACCAGTCCTTTCAGCATTCTCAGATGGAGATTATGCAGCCTTCCAGTACCAATGCATGGAGGTCTATGCCTCCACCTAAATACGACTACTTCATCTCACATCCACATTCCTGTAATCTACCTGGCCTTTGTTTCTGATGACGCACATCAGAATAATCAAGCAAAAAAAAAAATTAAGTCATATCTTCATTGATTTTAATATTCACTTCACTGATATGGCAGCACAGCCCTTGGCTATTTCACATCCTTTGCAATATCTACGGTCCTCATCCACTGGCAATCTAAAATAATCTAAAGAGTGCTCCTAAAAAAGTGTTCTAGTGCTTAGATATGGTATTATGCAATTTCTAAAAGACATACAGGTAGCATTCATGCTGCCTCTTTAAATTGAACTACTGAACAGAAGCTAAAATTCTTGGCAATGATCCAGCAGAAGGTACCTTGAGAACAAGCCTAATCATTTCCAGTGGAACTAAGAAGGAAGAAGCACTTGAAAGCAGTATTTTAGAAAAAGGAACATGTAAATATAAGGGCTTAGTGGATAAACACCATCTGGTGGGTTGCAGTTCAAAATTATTTTACATAGCACTACAAAAGGTCATTTTAGTCAGGTTAAAACTCCTTATCCCAAGATGGTTACAGTCAGATTGAAAAGATTATATGGTCTGGGGAGGAGAAACGGTGAAAGAAGGCATCACGTGTAAAGTGATACAAAACATTTCTAAAACATACATACTATAGCTATATTTATCTTGAAAAATATCACAAACAGATACGCGTCTTGCATTGTGATATTATAGCCAGGACAGTGTACAACCTATTATACTGCAACCAACATCTTAGGAAATGGGTATCGCATCCAAGTTCATTACATGTTCTAAGTAGTCCTAGCCAAGCACCCAAACCCAAGAACTACAGAGCTGAAACATTTTTTATGAGAAAAGAGGTATCTAGTTACCTAGTTTGAAGCTTCAATTTTGCTGTATTATTTTTAACTGAACGTGAAGAGTTACCGAACCTGTTTGATTCAACATACTAGGCTACAGAGGTAAGCTCCTTGTAGCTTTAGTTCAGAAACTGAAGAACACAAACACTTGCAAACTAAGAAAGGATGAAACTGAAAGGGATGTTAAACCTATTTGCATGCCTCCATGTAAACTATGGAAAGTTGCATTAACTTCTTTCACTTCCCACGCCTGGCTACTTCCTCTTTCATTCAAAATTTTCTTCAAAAGAAAATCACGGATCCCATACAAAAATCATCACCAACACGTGAGAATTTGTAACCTGGTGTGATTTTTGCATACATACCCCAGACAAAGAAAGTAAAATAACTGCCAAGTAACTAGACAAAGGCAAAAACAAGAGCACGTGTTGGTATTTTTTGAAGAGTAGACATATTTTCCTTCTGCCACCTAGTGACCAATTTATTCAGATAAGAGTAGCGTTTAAAATGTATCATATTAAATGGAACACCTTCATGACAACTCCTCCGCCTCACAGCAGTAGTGTTGCTAATCGCATTATTCCCAGAGACAAGTATTGTACAAGTCATGTTGTTGTGGGCTCCTTATAGTAAAGCCCTATAATGCTCATCACTGGAAAGCTTTGAGAGCAGAGTTCACCCTCATTAGAGCTGAGACTTTGAAGGCTGCCTTACACAAGCGCATTTGGTGAACCTGTCACACACCATGACTCCAATTCCTCATATAGCTGGCAAAACTGTAAACAATTTTACAGATCTTCACAAGCTTTTTATAGCTTGCAGGATGCACACTTGTTATTTTAAATCTTACTGATCCAGGGTAGAGAGATTTCTAAAATGATTAAACTTGATCTGTGCACTCAGTGGCACTGCTGAAAATGTGCCTGGCCCTACCTACTGATGGTAATAGGGGCTGGGATTGCTTAAGAGTTTTCCTGTGTATCAGAAAAGCACTTCATGATGGAAAAAGAGTATCTTTGAGTTCTTTCTGCGCCGTGAAGAAGCAACCTGTAATAGAAGGGCCACGAAGGGACTAACCAAATTCATTTGGAAGAAAACTGGCCTAAATGTTTTCTTATTCATCTATCAAGATCTGTACAATACTGTGTACCCCCACAGGAAGGGGCTTCTTGTATCTCTGTCAGTAAAGTAAAGCTGCCTCAGTACATTCTCGACTTGTATCATTATTCCACAGATTCTTTGGGTTCCTGGCACTGACTCCACAGTTAAATTTAAAAATGCAAGTGTCTCAGAAAAAGCAATTTGCACACAGACGTTTTTTTCAACCACAAAACACTCCTGCCTTTGACATCACTACTTGATAGTGAATCACTGTTTCTCCTTTCCTTTCATTTCAGTGGTGCTTCTTTTTCATGGGTCTTCAAAGGAAAGAATCTCCAACTTATTCTAATTTATTTCATTGTTTTTATTCTTAATATAAAGCCTTTCCAAGAAGCATCTTCCTAAACACTATAATAAATACAACCCCCTTTTCATCAACTAAAGAAAATGGAAGTTGCTAAGAGTTTGCTTTTACTACATCTCCCTCACATCATTTTCAAATATACAACTCCAAATAATTTGGCACAGATTTACCTAGCATCAATGCATTTACAGAACTGTCCTGGGCTTCTAGGCACACCTAAATTTTACTGTGGTATGGCAGAGGCCATGGTACTGTGGAACTCCATTCATAATGCTTAAAGTCTAGAGAAGGGCACTGGTCTCACTTTTGCACTTCTTACATGGAAATCTTTACAAAAGACCTGAATTGGATTCCTTTAAAAAAAAAAAAAAAAAAGTGTGGGGGAGAAGGAGGAGAAGGGACTGACTGACAGATTAGAGTCAAGCCCATGAACTAACTGAGATGATAAGAAACCCCCAGCAACAGGTCACCATGCTTCCTCCCTATCAAAAAATCTCAAATCAAGACAGAGCAAACATGACAGAACTTTCCTTAATTTGGTGTCATTATTACTAAATATCCCCATGATACATGCTTTGTCCATGAGGCAAGAGGAAAGCACCCAGTTTCCTTACACGGGATTATTGTGACTTTTTATTATTATCTGTATTAAATAAGAATGCTTCCCTTTGCCACCTGCTGCATCATAAGTCCTTCCCCCCCATGTTCTTTCCCACTTCTTACCTTGTCATCTCTTCCTCTAGCTCTAGATTCCCTTTCGCGGCTGCCTGCAGACTTCTCACCCTTGGATACCACGTGTGCTCTGCCCGCAGGCCCGCGGGGCTGCAGTCCTGGTGATTCTTTCCTCAAAGGTTTTACTTCTCGGTTGGGACGTTTGATCTGAGGTGGAGCCCTAACAACAAGCAACCACAACAAAAAACATGCTAAAAACAGCGAAAAAAGAGGAAGGATTCTAATGTTTCATTAATTCCCTTAGTGCATTATTATTAAAGCTGACAAGCCCCTAAGTCTTGTCTCCCTGTATCTGCAAATCCAGCAACATATTCCTGGTTCTGTCTGACACCCAAAGTAAGAAAAAAATGCAAAAAGAAAAAAAAAAAAGTTTCAACAGTGGAAAAAAAGAAAATTAATAATACTATTAGATCAGTACACCTAACCAATCTCACAACAAACGAACACGCATGTAACAAAAGAGGAAACAATTTAGTAAAAGTCTTCAAATTGTAGTTTCCTCTGACTCCAAACCAGGAGATTTTGTTAGGCTACATTCGTATGCACAAATTCTACACAACCAGATGACATTCCTGGTTAAAAAAAAAAAAAAAAGGCAAGCTGGCTAATAGCTTTGACAGGCCCCAAAACAAAGGAGGGAGAATTTTAAAACAATCTTCCTACCTCTGACTTCATTCCCCTGTGTGAAAATGTCAAAACGTAAAACTTGCCTAGAAAGCAAAAGCAAACAGAGCCGAACTGCAACCACTTATACTTGTGTGCATCATCCACAATGTCAAAGAGAACTCAGCAGTGGCATGAGGAGAAAGAATTTGGTTTTAAGACGAGGTATGACAGTCATTTTGCTCTAGGGATTGGACTTGAAATATAGAACTAAAATAAATGGCCAGCAATGTCACCCAACTTTAATTAGTGCCCCCTATTAAATCTACTGATTCTTGTGTTGAGTAACACAAAATTTGCTAACTCAAAACCAATTTCCTGGAATATGACTTAAAAAGAGTACATACTTAAATGCACTGCTGGATACAACTGCTACATTTTGCTTTGTATACATTTTCGTCAAACTTAACGGCATAGAAGAGTGGCTAATTTTCCAAGATTTAAATTTCAGTTTAAGAAAGCGGATGAACTATTGGGCCTTTACCTCTAAGAAAGACAGAAGAATAAATACGTCTTCCACTTCATGTAACGTTACCACAAGAAGTCTGATAATCATTTCTACCACTCACAAAAGTAATCAGCGTTAATATTATGTTACATATTATTATGTTATTATATTCTTAGGGCTTTTTGAAAAGCAAAGATCTGCTTGTTTGATAATCATAAAGCACATAAATTTACAAATAAACTTGGCATTTCTTTCTGTTAACCCAGATCTCTCATTTTACTTTGTTCCTTTGCTTATGTGAGTATACACACATTATAATTCTTTGCTATTATAATGTTAGAAAAATGTTGGCATGATAAATGTTATTCTTGTTTTTAAATTGGATTTGTTGTTTCCAACAACCTGTGTCAAGCTCCATTAGAGTGAAAATAGGGATTTCAGAAAACGCACAAGCATCTACTTTCAGAAAACTATTAGCTAACTAAGTTACCTTAAAGGTGGTTACAGAAGAGAAACGCCATGTATAACAGAACATGTTTAGCAATAAAACTAACTAATGGATTAAACACAGGTCATATTATCTGTAGCTAGGGAGCGATTTCTAACCACTGTGTCCTTCAAGATCCTTCAGTTCCAGCTCCTTACTGACTCCTCAGCCATCAATGAATTCAACTACTTAAATAAACTGAAACGGAAAAGTTTTTGCCCTGCACATGAGAAAGGCAACTGTCACCAAAGGCCCACTTACCTCTCCAGCAGACTCTAGTTCCAGGCACTTAGCTAGTCACTCCTACCAGAATAAAGGAGTGACTTTCTTTAGAACTTCAGCAATAAATCTGACTATAGTTTAATTATTTTTTTCCCCAATGAGTGATATTTATTTGTTATTACAGTTGACTAAGGGCTAAATGAAATGTGATTTTCACGTTACAAATGCATTCAAAAAAGAACATAAAATTATGGTGACTCAACTTTATTCCACCCACTCTGCTTGAGCCTCTCATTACCTGTGTTCAGCTGGAACAGGAGGGGGCCAAACAGCGGGATCTCTAAAAGGCTCATCTTGACAGGACACAGGGATATCTGCAGGTCTGTCCATTTTAAAACTTTCTAAAGTGTTGACAATGCTCTTAACTTGTTCATATTCTTCAACTAATTCTTGTCGGACCTTGAGAAATACACACATTATTTAAAAATCATTACAATTCAAACTTTTTTTTTTTTAAAACCATAGAAAGTACCTCAAAACATATGCTACCCTCAAAAGCAGGGACTCCCAAGCCTTTCCATTCACAAACTCCAGATCTATCAAGCTGACAATAGATCTTTAACAACAGCATAAACAATTGAATCTCTGTTGAGTTCATCTTCCTGCTTGTCAATGTCATGACCAGACACGATTGCTAACACAGGGATCACTCTTCCATAACATGTGCTGATGCTTAGATTTATGTGTGCATGTTGACATGTATGCACACACACACACACACTTTTTATACTAGTAAGGGTGCTGTTGGCAGATCTTTAACATATTTGCTACTATTCTGGCATAAAAGAATTTCTCTGATTACAGTCTCCAAGGTCCTAGTTATAAAACTGGCTAAATCATTAAAATACAATATTACAAAATTAACTCTGTGAGGGGCACAACATCACCATAAGGTCAAAATGCAAGCCAATTCTTTGGTGGATTGCAAAGATCAGAACAGAAAATGGGAACTTTAACACCCTATAGCATAAGTTCAAATGATAAGTAAAGTAAGTGAAATAAAAATGAGAGGAAATTATGTCTCAGAAAGAAATCAGGTTGCAGAATTATGCAGCTGAATTTTATACCTGAAGTTGCTATTGCCACTAGTCAGGGAATTAGAACTACTGCAATAATTTCAGGATTATTTACTTGATACTTGTTCATTTCAATTTTCTTCTGTGAAGCCTAGGAAAAATAAAATCTGTGTAGGCATTTGCTAAGTTTTAAGTGATACGGCTTGTTACAAGCTCAAGTTTTGTATGCTAAGGTCACCGGTTCTTAGTACACACCAGCAGACAGAAACTGCATTGTACATTCTTGCTCAAAAGCATAAGCTTTCAGTGCATTAGCTTTAGGATGTGCTAGGATTCACCTGAGTGCACTTGTACTGCATCTTACCAGTCTTACCAGTGCAGAGTCTGAGTAATCGAGAGGATCAGGAGAATGGAGGTCTGCAAAGCCAGCGTGTCTGCTGAGGTGATAACAGCAGCAAATCAGGGAAGTAGTACTAAACAGCATCACGTCTTATGACTGTTCTTCCTAATGGTGCTTACTGGTAAAAAGATGTGGCCACTAGCCTGAGATCTCTCCGTCTCCCTGTGTGCTTGGAAACGAACCTCGATGGGCACATGCAGGGTGCTGTGTCTTGTCAGCACACTTTTAGAAGCATGACTCTTCCAGCCTGATTTTCACCTGCTCATCCCATTTCCCTTTCACACTCTCATTTCCCCTCTCAGAACGGAGTCTTTCCTCACCTGCCCCACTCTACGTATTCAAAACAGCAGCAGCAGACCCCACTTTTGGTGGGGCACCTTCAAGACAGAAAGCGCTATCTGACATAACTGTTTGGTGGGTGAGGTGTATAAAAGAACGAAGGATTAAATCGACAGCACTCAGTAACAAACACACATCACCTCTTTCTGGAAGCTACAGTTCTCCTAAAATACTACCAGGTACATCCCACAGCAATGTATCATTCTGCTGTGTAATATTTTCCAGGAATTTTCCCACTACAAGGACAAATTAGGAGATTTCAGCAGCACAAAGAAATTCTTCTCTGGTTTAAAACCCTGTTTAATAAGAAGCATATATATGTGACTGTCATCAGCAAGATACCAGTAAGGACAGAGGCAAAGTGAAGGGTAAAGCCCTAAGGCCCTGCACAGTTCTTGCAACACTGATTTTACTTCTCCAGGAGCTCTGCATGCATCTATACAAAAGGAGCCTTAGGTATGGGAAGAGCTTGATCATTTCACAGGGCAAAGCAGCCTTCTTGCTTGTCGCAGATGGGGTAGCTCTATCTTTCCAAAGACACGGGACATCCAGCTCAGGCAGGATTGCTCTAGTAAAGACAGTCAATGCTTGACATGGCCCCCCCTGCCCTGCTTTGCTCTCTTTGCTTTCTCATCACACAATCAGCAGACATATCCCCCAGTGCAAGAACTTCCAGCTGAGTTACGAATGTGATTGATTACTAACTTGGTTCCTTCAAACTGTCTAACACGCATCCCTCCTGTCCAAAAATAAATCCAGCCAAACAACTGCTGTGAAGTACAAAGGAATGATACAGCATAAATCCACCAGGGCACTGCTCACGAGAGACAGCCGCTTCCTACTCCCATGCTCCAGGAATACAGAAGGATTCCTCCTCTCACATGTGGAAAAGTTGGTGGAAAACAACTTGCCAGCACTGAGGGCTGGAGTGCTGTCATTCAGCTCTCTTGGACCAGCAAGGAGGATGGTATCTGAAAATTGAGAGAAAGTGAGCCTTTGATGCGTTTGAAACTGAAAACAGACTAACAGCTGCTGGCCAGCTCTTATCCAGACCTGAGCAGACCCAACTCTGAAATACACACCCTTACCACTCACTCAGTAAGTAGCAAACCAACCAACAAAACCCCCTCAACGTACTCAAACAACAGGACCACAAAGGAAAACCGGCTGATAAATTCCTAGAGGCCTTAAAGAAATCAAGTCAGATGAAACAGGTGCAAAAAGAGTTTCTTGCAGCTGAGAAACAAATAACCCAGATGCGAGCCAAGAAGGGCTGTGCCGTAATTACAGAGGTGACTGAGCACTGCCTTGGAGTGATCAGTGCTGCTCTGCAGCAACCTTGGAAAACTGCAAACAAAAAAATCACTGATCTGGACTCACCCAGTCTCTTTGCCCCCCATCACACCCTTCCCTGGGGTGCCAGAGGCCTCAGGGGGCTCCAGCTCAGGTTCCAGAGAACCTGAAGAAAGCTTTTGGGTGATTCATGTTTAAGCAGGTTCAGGAGATAGCATGGGCTGAGTTAACAGCTCACCACTGCCAAATAGAAAGATCTTGCTTCTCCTCACTCTTTCTCCCCAACCACACTCTGCTGCTGCTCTTCTGGATTCAATTCTGGCATCTCAATACAGTAATTCGGCTTGGTAAAATTGCAGAAAATTAGCCTGGGAGGGTAAAAAGAAAATAAAGGGCACTTTTGCTGGGTTAGCAACCTGCACTGGCTCACTACCCTGCGATCAGGTGAATCCCAGGACAAAGAATGGCAGGGTGCAGAGGAGGGAGAGAAGCTGGTGCAGCTGGAGGGAAGACGAAGTGGGGAAGAGCTTGGCCTCTGGGCACGGCAGGATGTTAGCTGGGTTCAGCTACAGCATGAAGCTGCCTGCTGCCCAGAGCCACACTCTGGTACACCAGCCGCCCCTACCAGCCACATCACCTCCTCCACAGAAGCAGCATCGGGGGCATTGGGTGATGTTGGAAAGCCTGATAAAAAGCCTTTCAGCCCAGGGGGTGGCCCCATGGCTTCATTTTGACATTCCAGCCCTAAGGATTTACAGTAACCAAGCAGAAAACACATCCTAATGTATGGTTGTAGAACACAGTGACCAAGAGTTGAGTTCACTCTTTCTGAGTGGTAGTTCCAAAAACCATTTCAGAGAGTTCCTCTGTATTTCACAGTCTGGCAACTGTTGTACCTTTGGCATCACCAGCTTTTATTTGCTACGCTAGAGCTTGTAGTTCTACACAGCTTCCCATAGCAATAAGCCTGGGTATTTGTACCTTGGTAAATACAAATAATGTATGGTTGGGTTTTTTTTTTTTAATTATATCATGCTGGAACAAAACAAATCAAGTTTCCATAAAAGTGTTTCCAAACCTGAAATTACTGCCTGCAATTAGTGTTAGTTATTCAACAGGCTCCATTTTAAAAAAGTGAAAATAACAATTCCCCAAACCATACCCAAAACGGAAGCCCTGTAACCCAGTCTGATCCCATGGAGTGAAAGTGTAGCTCCTGTAATCACAGTTCTTCATGAGCTACTTGCAGAATATTCCTTAATTACTCATGAGGTAACCTAAGAAGTGCTAATACAACAGGCATGAAGCAAAACCAACATAAGCACAGATTGACTGAAATGTGTTTAAAATGTAAAAAAAAAAAAAAAAAAGTAAAAGTCACCCTTTATTCTTTAAGCAAGAATACAGTGCACCTAATCACCTGCTCCAGTGACCATGGTCAGTAAGGGTGCCTTGCTGGCTGCTCCAAGCACTCTGAGAATCGTTGAACTCCTGCCTCAGCTCCGGCTGAGGCTCCTCTGCTCTCAGATATTGTGCAACACAGAGCACGCAGTTATAACATGCAGCAGGTTTTGCTCGACAGCCGCTGGCCTTGTCATAAGCCAGTACTATCACCCCAGGGTACGCTCTGCTGTCATTCCGCAGCTGCTGAACTGTCACTGAAGCAGCTCTTTCCTACAAGCCAGCTGTCTAGTAAAAAGACTGCAACAGCCAAGAAGCTCTCTCAGAATAAACAGGGGGAATGTCAACACAAGTAAAGTTCACAGTAGAGGTCATGAGAGTAAACCTACCTTTTATTGTTGTTAAGTAGAAAAAGAGATGAGTTGCTTCTGATTTTGAATCTCTCCAGTCCCAGCCTGCATTTACATGGATGAATATGCCTACATGTCAGCCAAACCTCAAAGCACAACAAAGTAACTTTTTCTTTTTCAAATGAGCTCGGAAGCCTAGGAGTCAGGATAAGAATGGAGCTGTACTCGGCCACCCAAAAGCAAGCTGGGAACTCCCTGGTTGCAAAACAAATAAGGGTCTCAAGAGCAGGTCACCCTTGATACCCCCAAGCCAAGCTAGTTATCAGACAATCAGTGACAATGAATTTTCCAATGGGTCAGAGGAATTCTTGTGTTGTCACACCGCTGCTTTGGTGGACCCTCCAGGATGCATCTTTTGTCCTTTTGAAGTTCTGCAGGTTGTGCCAGACTAATAACACAATCCCTCTCCCTGAGCCAGCACTGATTTTTAAGTCCCAGAAGCAGTATTGCATCAAGTGGAACTGAGCCAGTCAGTTGTTCCCAGGGGAGCAGATGATACATGTTCACATTCATCCGCCTCGTAACTATCAGCACCAAGCACAAGGAACCCTTGAAATCAGGGTGCCCAGTTGCAAAGCTGAAGCTGTCTGACTGTGCGACATGAAATACAAGCCACCAAATACTTGCACACAATATCATTCTGTCCAGACCAACCTGTAGAAATTTGAAAAGCAAAGAGAGGTAGATCAAGAGCGTCTGGGATTCTGACCCAAAATCCCAACTACTTCTGGTTCACCTCTGCTCTACATTGCTAAATAAACTGCTGGGAAAATCCTGTGTAGTACACAAGGCAACAAAACAGATCCCCCTAACACGAGGTACCTATTCAGGATGGAGCACCCACTGTAGAGAAGTGACCAGATAGGGAGAACAAAGGTTCATGTAACAGGTATGAGTTGGTCAGTGGCAGAGCCACGGCTGTAACGATTCTTTGAGATGTTACTCATATGAACATTCCTATTTTATGAGGGAGCATGTACGCAAACACCTGAAACCGAGTTCACTGCCTCAGAAGTACCAGTAGGACAAACACCCTCTTCGTGTGCTGCGCACAAACGTACAGAAAGGAAGGGCATGCTTCATACTGCCAGATCCCCTCAGCGCTGGTGTCTCAGGAGTCCTTCAGGAGGTTCAAGATTGTGAATGTGCATGCAATATATCTGGAGAAGAATTGGTTTAAGTAACAATCTTCTCCTTTGAGCACTTATCTACAGGGACATTCACACTGTGGACCACTCCCAACAGTCAAAGCTCTACCTAACTAGTGTCTGCTAGAGATGGCTAAACTCCACCTCCAAAAGGGACCAGTGGTATTATCCTCTTCAGATTCCTCAGAGGATGGAGAAACTGAAGAACCTAAAGAACAGGCTAGTTCCATACACCAGAGGAGACAGAACTCCAGGTAAAAATCAATTGCATTCATCCCCTTAACCATGACCTAAAGGTTGCTTTGCTTCTCGCGCCCCTTGGAAGAAGCATACAGGTATGGGAATCTTTTGCTTCTGCACATTACTGGTACCAAGTGGGTTAGACCCGAATTTTGCTAAACTTACATAATGTGTATGGCATAGCTCTTCCACGAGAATGATCTAAAAAGAATATCTAAATATTATTTTAATATTGTGAATGAGTGTTTCTTGTGATCCAACTTTTGGTTTAATTTTTTTCAGAACAGGTTGTCTGTCAGACAGTTACTGAATGTGACTGACAGTTTGGATGTAGCTGCTGTTGGAGCTGGAAAGCAGTGCTAACATCCAAATCATCAGACTCCCTCGTAGTCTGTCTCAAGGAGTGAGAAAGCACAATTATTTATCAAGAGTGGGTAAGAAAGCAGGCCTACCTCTATAGGTCTCACCAAAACATTCAGGTGCAGGTATGGAAAAGCTAGTGGTTTCAGGGCTGCATCGTTTGCTCTCAGGACTGTATCATTTTGTTCCCACTGCTACAGGTAGTCCCATAAATGAATGAGAAGGGAAACAACCCGGGGATGGAGCACTTCTTTTTTTTTTAATCATGCTTCTTATTTTTTGGTGTCTGTCCCTGAGCTGAGACTGGCACCAGTAATGGCAAAGTGATATTCTAACAAAGCTCATCTGCCACCGCTGTGCTGGGAAGTTTCAGAATTAACATGAGCGCACAGCATGACACACGCTACCCCACCTGCTGATGATCTTTCTGGGGACAGTTCTCCAAAGCGTTTATGGGACACTGTCAGGGGCCACTCTGTTTTCACCTAAAAGGGATAATTTCTGAGAAGGTACCAACTTCAGATCCTCTGCTAAGGAGCCAGCTGCCTTCCCCAGGTAATAATCCTGGAAACTGTGTTAATGGTCCTTTTTTACTTGAGGCTTGTCTCCAATGTACAGCACACATTCCATGGTGCACAGGCTTCTCTGAAGCAGTTCAAACAACACTCAACATCATGAGACTTGAAGTAACCTTCACAAGATAAGAGCTGTTAAAAGTTTAATGGAAGAATCAATGTCATCGGAGGTAACACTAAATACTAGAAGTGAAGGCAATGCAGCGATGCAGCTGCAGAACAAGGAAAGCCTCATGCTCTACCTTCACATTAGCCACGAGTTCGGCAGGAGCTAAGGACACGCATGGGGCACGAACACCTTGCAGCAGCACGCCCTGAATGCAAATACTTGAATGTGAATATCTCCTATACAACATGCAGCTTATTACATCATCAGGAAAAGCTAGGCATTATCACACGCACGTGCTTTGCAAACCAGCTTTTAATAAGCAGACAGACTTCTACAGTTCTATGATAAACACCTATGAATAGCACTGTCATTACAAAATGATTGCTAGCAGTGTTGTAGCTATCATTACACGAAATACTCTATGTCAGTGTCAGATGTTTCAGGCACAAAACCATAACCAAAGCACCTGCTGCAACAAAAAGGAAAAATTTGCTTCTGTTTTTAAGTGACATCATTTAAACATATGATATTCAGAAAAACGCTTCTTGAAATCATCTCTTCAACTACTTACTGCAAAATTATATCTTTTATAGGAGCTATGTTCTTCTTTCAAAATATAATATTTATACAACATGAATTCTTTATTCTGGAATACAGCTTTATATGTTTAACCTCCTTTTTTTTTTTTTTGATGGAACACATTTTGTACAATGAAAAATGGGGCCACAAAATGTAAGGAAGACTTAAATACTGAAAGTGCTACATGAGGGTCCTTACATTCACCTGCAGATTACTTCCTTGGCTTCAACAGTACTCCGCTTAGCAGGGAGATGCATGTATGCAATACTAAGAGTATTACTTGGAGTTTTAGAAACCTGATCCAAATTTGCACACTGTAGCATTAGAGTTAACTGCTACTCAGACAACCATTCTAGTGATGCTAACCCATCCACTCACATCTTAGTTTACTGGACATTAGATTGTCAAAAGACAAAACAGCAAAAGGAAGTCCTCAGCAAAACAGTTTTTCCAAAACATGCAATCACACACAAACAGACCCCTGATTATCATCCTAACTGAAAACAACAAAAAAATTGATTCAATTAGAACAAAAGAATTCATTTTCAACATGCCACAAAAATTACTTTCCCATAAATATCAACAAAATATTGTGAAAGAAATGTTGTAAACTTAACTGAAATATACGTCCTCTACATCTTAATAAGGTTTGGGAAGTATAGTGTGTTTTTCAAATACCAAGTAATAGAATAAAGGCAACCTTATTTCACCCTACCTGTTGCCATTTGCCCTTAATTGCTGGATCTCTGATCGACTGGCAATGTCTCTGGATTTGCTGGATGACACCCTGGTAATATACCATAGAAGAGTCATAATTCCCAAGGAGCGCATATTCTCTTCCTTTTTTGGCATTATCACAAATCTCTGCTAAATTCATCTTCACTCAGAAATCTAAAGGAGAACATTATAATCAGAAAAATGAATTTTACACGCTGTAGAATAATTCAGACCATGACACTTTAGTTTTTTTTTTTTCTCTCATAGCTGAATTGTGCCTTTCCGCCCCCCGTTCCCGTCCAGTCCCCCTCTTTTTCAACCATTTAGCTCTGGAGTATCTCTTTACTAGCCTAAAATTTGAGATCATGAATCATAACTCTTTTATAGTGATAAAAAACACAACTTCTTTGCTGCCTTTGGCCCCAATTCTGTTAAATTAATGCAAGAAAATTAAATGCCCTGCCCACACTGAACCTAACAAGCCAAACTAATTTGTAGGTCACCACAATGTATTAGCAGCCATCAACCCATGAATTACAAATCACACAAGGCATTAAATTGCTTTTTATACTGTTATATTACATACGTGCCTAAATGTGCCAACCAGCATCAAGGAAGTCTGCACTTCGCACTTTCAAAAGCCCTCACCCTAATGAGATTACGATACAGCTGAATGGCAGCTCTACTATAGACAAAGTTGAAAGCCTCATTCTGTTTAAATATTCTTTCAAAGATCCACAAGCTGACTTGGATTTTTTCATTACATTTAACATGTCACTTTGGGATTTATGGCAGAGTTGGCAATCCAAATTTAAGATTTCTTAAAACAGTGATTCCCAAAGTACAACCTTCTCCTAGTCCCCAAAACAATTTAAGATTTACAGATTTTACTAACTTTTTTATACAAGTAGTAAATCACAGCATGACTTTAAGGCAAACCCATAGTCCAACTTCTCCCAGTAACCATTCAAGAAAGCAATATTAAATCACACATTCAAAAGTAAGTTATGTTGTACAGCTGGGTTTGTATTTAAGGTTCAAGACTGAAGCAGTGCCTGCCCCGTTATCTGAATCCCACATGACCCAAAGTCTATGTCCTTACCACACAAAAAGAGCATCCGTTACTTTCCCTTGTCCTCTGACTCAGGATGGGTGGGGTCTCTGACATTCACCCAGATATAAACGTCTGGAAATCAAAAATAAAAAATTACAATTCATACTACGCAATGCAGAGAGTTGCATTGATCAAGGGGGAGGAGGCTGGCTCAGGAGGGTCATCCACTAGCTGCATCGAGCGTTCGGCAAGACCAAGGCAGTGGAGAAGAAAGAGGGAAGGAGGGATACAGCCAGATGGAGAGAGACCAGGGCGCGGGGCCTGGCGCAGCACACAGTTCAGGCTGCACGGCTGAAGACAGCCCACGATATGGGGGTGCATGCAGTAGGAGCAGGTGGTAGCAGAGAGAAGCCAGAACAGGGAGAAACAACCTTTTACATCCTAGTGGGTTGTAAAAACGTTAGTAGTTTTTATAGAACAGACAAGACAAGATCAAGATGGCATTAAGGAGGATGTATCTTATGCCTTTGTATTCCCTTATGCTTAGCAAAATTCAAACCTCTGACAATAAGTTAAACATATATCCACATGACCTTCATTCTGCCCTCCCTGAACGCTGCCTATAGCAAACACACACTCTGCCTCTCAACGGTGCTGAACTGATGGTCCTTACCACTGCCTGCAGCTGCACGCCAGGTCTGCTCCACCACCTCTTCACTCCTGCTCCCTGCAACTAAGCCACGGAAAGCTGCTACCCTCACTTAAACCCACAGGCCGCACCGCTTCCACATGGCTGAAGACTTTGATGGCAAGAACGTGCTGCTGCCCCACAGCTGGCACTCCACCGAGCACAGCAAGATGCATTGGGGCTTACTTGTCCTCGTGCTGTGCCGCACATTTCAGCTTGCAGATCATTCCCATGGGCTGTTACAAACTTCTGGGCAGGGAGCAGAACTAAGGTGGAAAGTGTGACGGCCCTAATTTTGTCTTCTCTCAGTGCTGAGGAAGGGTAGGATACATCGCTGGAAAGCTCCAGCTCTGTGGCAATTAAGACCATTTAATTTTAAAATACAGAAGATGATAACTGATAGAAAAAAGCAATATCACTTGCATTGTACTGGAAATGGATAAAAAGATAGGAACTGAATATAAGTTACGACCCATTCAGATCTGATGAGTCAACTTATAAATGAACAAAACACTACCTGGGGCACAATCCATTGCCCCGTCTTCAAACACATCCAGGTTAGGATCTGATACACAACCGGCTTGTCCCCGTAAGGAAAACGGTCCTCAAATCTTTGGAGGTTTTCCCCACGTGTAGCAAAAAAGAGAGTAAATAAAACATTTCTAAGGAACTGCTGCATTCAATTCCTAGAAATCCATTAAACGGAACACGTACTTAGTTTAGCAATCTCTTGTATCTGTTTATTACAGCTAGTTCCCCCCCTGCAGGCATGTGTTAAACTTCCTTTTGCCTTAAGAGGGCTGACACTCACATCCAGCTCCCCTTAACCCCAGAAGAGTGCTCTGCTCACCAGAGGAGACAACCTCCTTGCCTCCGGTGGAAGCTGGGCCGGCCCCTGGGCAGGAGGCAAGGCGCAGCAGCCAGGCGGACACGTGCTCACTTCAGAAGAGTGGTTAGTGCAGGGAGCTGGGAAGCAGGAGGCAGAAAAATTTACATGGTCTTCAAACTGCAGGGGGAAACCAAATGGGAGTCTCACATTTCCTCCAGCAACCAAGAGTTTGGGGACTTCTGGCCTCATGCTGGTGACACGGACGCTTAACCAAAAGCTTGATACCCAATGCGTCACGCTGGAGAGCTTCTAAACATCGATGGGCACTGAAACTTGGAGCATACAGGGAGGTTGGTGCATGTACACGTAGGTACCTACTGAGCAGTTGACGCCTCCAGAGCTAGGCTGATAAAAGCCTCTGGATCTTTCTCTTGGATTCAGGCACTTCAATTTTTACTTATCACCTACTCTAGACACCAAAGCAGGTAATATAGATTGAGAAGGTGAATATAACATCACCCATATACCTGAAACATGTTTGAAACAGCAACTGTAGACCTCAGTCCTAAATCAGTGCTCCCCCTGACCCCCAGGCAGTGCTTTGAGGTCCTATTGCGATAAGACTGGCTATTTTAAACTAATGGCTAACAACAGTTTAAACCAACTACAAACCTTTTACGCACACCAGCAATGGTAACGTTAGTTCAGAATAACCAAAGCAAGTCAAAACAAATATGTCCAAAATGAAGGAAAAATTTTTTTTAGGAAGGAATTCCTTCCTGGATTGTTTTCTGGACGACCCCACTCTTCAGTGCCAGAGGTGGGGAGGAAGAGATAGCAAGAACTAGTTGGGGGCTTTTTCATGTTATGTACTTATTTTTTATTATCTGTTCTACATTATATTATAGAGTTCATACAACATTGCAAACGTCCAAGGAACCAGACATCCAGAAGTCATAAATAGTGCTTTTGTTGTTCGTTTTTTTGTTGTTTGGGGTTTTGTTTAAATATTTGATTTTCCTACCATATCACAGCCACATCTTTTAAATAAATACACAATCAGGGACAACTGTTGTCAGGTACATTTAGAACAACTTAGACATTACTTGTGACACCAGCTTTTTATTCTGTCATTGCGTGGTTCTTTCCTGCACTAGACCATAACAGCTCCACGGTACGTCAAGATATCCTTGGAGATTCCTTAGTCTACGGATCATTGACAAGAAGAGACATTACAGATATTCATGTCGGCAGAGCTGCCACACATGGGGTCTTAAGCCCACTTGTTAAAAACCCTGCAGCAGCTAGGCTAAAAGGTCACAGGGGATATTAATCTCTATTCTTTGGAGCATAAGCTGAGCTGATCCCTATCTGGGGTCAGAAAAGAATTTTTCTCCCAGAACTAAAGCAACGCACAATTGAGCAAGATCCAAAAGACAGTCTCTATTTTAACATTAAAGCATTATACACACACAAACATATCCACAGGCAGATACAGTGACTGTGTGAGTGGCGGGCAAAGGGGGACAGCCTGTTTAGTACACTATTCCAAACTTGTGTGCAACACCAGTGGGAATGCAGGACAACTGCCCCCCTTTAACCGGTCTCCCACTTAACCTCACCCCAGTGCTACCAGAGGCAATAAATGCCCTCCCCTGTAGATGGGGTCTGTAGCAGGGGTTTTCCTATTGCTCGATACTGAACATTCAACTCTGCAAACAAAAGGCATCTCTGCTATCTTTACATCTCTTGTATGCCTGTGTGTTTTGACGCAATCAGTTACACAACTGCGTCCCATTTTCTCCACAGGCACTCGACTCTTGCACAGGATGGATGGCACTCATTAAATGAGCAGTTACTCATTTTTGCTTTACTCTGATTGCTTCGATAGTCACATCAAGCCTTATTTACTGCCTACTAATCAGACTTTTCTCCAAATCAGTTTTAATTCCTCACTGATAGGGCTATAACATACCTGTTTTTTTCTGGACATGTGTCTTTCTCTGACCAAAATTTTACCCAGGCAGACCAAAAATTTTCCACAGCTCCCTGAGATTGCTGGACATATGGTCTCACGTCATAGCAGCTGTGCAATATTGCTGACTGGACAGCTGAACATCTGGAACGGCCTGGACATACACAGATGAAGACTGGTTACTAATTCTGTTTCTCATTTTCTGTAAATCAGCCGTGCAGCATGATGTCGGGCATCCCGAAACGCAATGTAAGAGACCCGACTAACGTGACAAGACAGAGCGCCACGCTGTTAGGCACCATCTTCTCAAATCCAGTGCTGAGGTACAACTATACATTTTCCACTTCTACAAATAGAGCCGGGATGGCCCTCTGCCGCTGCACAACCCCAGAACGGGTCGATTGCCACGCAGAGCAAAGCAAGGAAGTGAATTCCAGCATTAAGAGGTTTTGATTTTTGGATTTATCCACTTTTCGTGTGCACCCATTTCTATTACCAGAGTCTAAGCAATGAACTGAAGTTGTTCCTTTCTCAAATTCTTCTTACTGCTTGGAAGCTTTTCCTTACAATTAATCTAAACCTGCCCTCCTCAGTTTAAGGCCATATTGTTTTCG